GGATGTCAGTGTATGCATTGTAATAGGTTAGGATTGACTTGTTCCGGAACTTCAGTCAAGCTCTATGTGGCATTTGGATCCAACCAGTGACCTGTAGCCACAGCTTCATCCCTGTTCCATGGACACTGAGTTCACCTGCCTCTGTTAGTCAATTTCCATTACAACTGGAAGGCTTGGTGACATCCTGAAGAAAACCTCAGTGTTCTTCTGGCACAAGCTTAAAAGAAACTTTGCAGCCAGAAGTCCCTGTCATCTTTGATTGTAGACACCTTGGTGTGATTTTCACACCCAGAGAGGATTTTTTTATTTTTATTTATTTATATTTAAATAGTTTATTGTCAAGTTGGTTTCCATATGAAACCCAGTGCTCATCCAGGCAGGATTAACTCCCTGACTCATGTGCTTTGATGTTTAACCCATGGCCCTTGGTGCTCATTGCTTTGTTCTAGAATCAACTGTGGACAATGAACTCTATAATGCCTGACCCCCACCATAGAATAGTGACTAGAAACACTGGGGTGATATCTGGCTTTGAATGGCAGTCAGAGGATTCTGCTCTGTGACCAGGGAGAGAACCTCTGGCTGGACCACAAGCCAGCCTCTCAGAGACACAGTTCTCATGCATGTCAGCTTCATGCAGGCTGGGTGCTGCTCCCCTGTCCTGACCCCAAGGCTATAGGGGAAGGAACCACAGAATGGGTTTGGGGGCAATTCTGCCTACTCATGCAGAACAAAGAGGTCAATGATTGGGAGAGGATACAATGGGAGTGAGAAGGGAGGGAGGGAGAGAAGGCGGAAAAGCCTAAGATCTATCTCTAGGATCAGGTCCTCCTTCACCAAGGGCTGCATGAGCAGTGACCTTCAGCTGTGACTCAAGAGCAGGAGGCAAGAGATGGGAACATATAAAGCTGAGCCTGGGTGGTATGTGGGTGCCTTGGACTCTCCCAGATGCTCAGCCATTAGATCCCCTCCTTTGGGGAACCTCTGGGAATTGTCCTGAATCCTTTTCATAGCCAGGCTGGCCAGACATAAGCAACCACAAGTCACTCTTAACTAGACACTTTTCAAATCAATTACTCTGGTATAATTCAGCCACAGCACTGGCTTCTAACTGCTGACTTCAAACTACTATCCTGACCCATTTCAAACCACCAGTTTACATATTTAATGCTCATAGTCTATGACAATGGTTGCATCAAAAAGCTTCCATTATGAGTTACACTTGCCAGGAGACAATCATGTCTCAGAAAAAGGTTTCCTAACAAAACCTACACAAAAAATGTAACATATGCTCAGAGGAAGAGAACACACTCCTTTCAATTTTACTTCTTTTTTCTACATCCCTGTGGATTCTCCCTTCCCTGTATTACTGAAATGAATTTTCATTCTATAAAACATGAGATATAATGAGAAGATATATTGACACCATTTTCTCAACAACAAGAAAACAAATTTAAGAGCACTAATCCAATTCATGCATTAATTGAGACAATACTAACCTGTCCCAGTTATGTTCCAGGCAATCGGTACTACTAGTGCAATCCAGCCAAACAGAACTTTCAATTGATAAAAAACCAACCAACCAAACAAACAAACAAACAAACAACCAGCCAACCAGCCAACCAGAGAAGGAGGATGAGAGGTAAAGAAGATAAGGTAGGGATCCCAATTTTATTTTATTTTTTAATAGTTTATTTTCAAGTTGGTCTCCATATAATACCCAGTGCTCATCCCAACAAGTGCCCTCCTCTGTGCTGATCACCCCCCTTCCTCTCTCCTTCACCCCCATCAGCCCTCAGTATGTTCTCAGTATTCAAGAGTCTCTCATCGTTTGCCTCTCTACCTCTCCCCAACTATTTTTCCCCTTCTTCTCCCATATCATCCTCCTAATCCACATATATGTGCAAACATATGGTATCTGTTCTTCTCTATCTGACTTATTTCACTCAGCATAACACCCTCAAGTTCCATTCATGTTGCTACACATGGCCAGATTTCATTCTTTCTCATTGCCATGTAGTATTCCATCGTATAGATAAACCACATCTTCTTGATCCATTCATCCGTTGATGGACACTTAGGCTCTTTCCATGATTTGTCTACTGTTGAGATTGCTGCTATGAACATTGGGGTACATGTGCCCCTATGCATCAGCACTCCTGTACTCCTTGGGTAAATTCCTAGCAGTGCTATTGCTAGGTCATAGGGGAGTTCTATTGTTAATTTTTTGAGGAACCTCCACACCGTTTTCCAGAGGGGTTGCACCAGTTTACATTCCCACCAACAGTGTAAGAGGGTCCCCTTTTCTCCACATCCTCAACAGCACCTATAGTCTCCTGATTTGTTCATTTTAGCCACTCTGACTGGCGTGAGGTGGTCTCTCAGTGTGGTTTTGAGTTGTATTTCCCTGATGATGAGGGACATTGAACATCGTTTCATGTGTCTGTTGGCCATCTGGATGTCCTCTTTGGAGAAGTGTCTGTTCATGTCTTCTGCCCATTTCTTCACTGGATTATTTGTTTTTCGGGTGTGGAGTTTGGTTTAAATGGTAATGTCAGGGATGTTGGAAGACTGACCAAGTAACAGCCCTTATTGAAGTACAGAACAGTTGAGCAATGGAGTGAACGTTAAATCCATTGTATAGTTTGGGACATGGGCAGCTTGGGGTGTCTGAGGCCACCCAAATAAGTGGAAGGACCATTAGATGGATTCAGAGGTAGGATCCTGGTGCCAATTAATAAGATTCTAATCGCCAATTCATATGTGTGGGTATTTCCCCCACAACACCAAGCCATGCTCAAATACTAGCTGGGTATCCTATAATTTAACTCAATTTTGATGCAGTCTACCTGGCAATAGTATCAGACCCAATATATTAAGGACCCAATCCTACAAGACATAATCCCACCCCCTCCCCACACATATACTTCAGATGCTAGTCACATGTCCATGCTATCACATGTGTTTCTGAACACCCTACTAGAAATTTTAGTTTCGAGTGACTCCCTCCTTGGATTGATTAATTTCCCAAAGTGAGGCATAAAACTCAGGAAACATTATCATTAAATGGCTTATTATAAAAGGGTATGACTCAGGAACAGCCAAAAGAAAGGAATGTACATGGAAGGTATGGAGAAAAGGTCGTGAGCCTCCATGGACTCTCCAAGTAGACCAATCTCCAATCACCAACCAGAAGCTCTTAGAACCCAGTTCTGAGATTTGGGGATTTTATGAAGACTTCATTACATAGTCATTATTGATTAAATCTTTGGCCTTTGGAGACTGATTCAGTTCCCAACTCCTTCCCTCCCTGGAGGTCTGGGTGAGTGGGACTGAAATTTCCAACTCTCCAATCACAATTCCCTGGCCTCCTTTGTTGGGGGTCCAAAAGCCACCTCATTAACATCACAGGAGACACCTTTGTGCTCTCATCCCTTAGGAAGTCTCCGGGGTTTTAGGAGCTCTGAGACAGAATCAAAGACTAAAATCAAATACACACCTCTTATTAGAAATCAAAACATCACAGGACCTAAGGTGGCAGTTTTGACCTGGTGTTATATGGTGGCACTGTGGTATTAAAGTCACTAGACTGGATGAGACTCTGAGGGAAGGGAAGCACATAGAAAAGAAGTACAAGGCCTGAGCCTGGGTTGAACCCCTTAAGACAGGCCTGGATGAAGTTCTTGAGGATGAGGCCAAATTGGAAACTCTTTACATCTAGACCAGCAGAGATAAACAACTCTTCTGGTGTCTTGGAATTAAGGAAAAAATCAAGATCATATTCCCCTCTAAAATCCATCTGCAGAGAACCCTGGGGAGACAGGCCAGCAGAATCTGGAGCCCTGGAATCTATCTTCCAAAACCTGGGTCAGTTTGTTGTGTTGAAGTACCTTTTTATGTCTTTCTCTTCATCAGACCCAGGGCTTCTGGAGGGCAAGAACTAGGCTTTTATATATTTAAAGTAAATATCTGACATCATATGTTCCAGTATTTACTAAATCAGTGAATGATAAATAGCATAGCTGGGGAACTGATACAATTTTTCATGAAGGATAACTAAGTACAAAGTGGATTTCCATGGTGTAACTCAGGTACAAGACTGTGGTAATAAGAGGAAGCCACCATCAAGGGACACCACCCAAGGTCTCAGGCCCATCATCACCCCACTGAGGACACCTGCACTTATAGATATTTGCAAATAAAATAAAACACAAAATGCTGCTGTGGACCACGAACATTCACTTCACTGCTTAGACCTGATTGAGTCTGTGATATCTTTTTTTTTTTTTTTTACTTTTTATCTAAATTCCAGTTAGTTAACATACAGCATATTAGTTTCAGGTGTACAATATGGTTCAACACTTCCATACATCACTCAGTGCATATCACAAGTGCATTCCTTAATCCCCATGAACTATTTCCTCCATCCCTCCCACCACTTCCCCTCTGGTAACCGTCAGTTTGTTCTCCAAAGTTAAGAGTCCATTTCTTGGTTTGGAGTCAGGCATTTGTTTTTTTACCACCTGTGTCCAAATATCTTTGTAGCCTGAAACAATAATGCCAATTCTAGGAAGAAAATAATCCAACATATGCACCAAGAAATTTATTTCCCACAATAATGTGTATCACAGGATTACTTAGTACAAAAATGAACAATGACAACCACAACAACAAATCCTCACTGAGACACAAAAGAGGAACACACACACACACACACACACACTGGTAACAGCCTAAAGTCTAGCAGCTGAGAACAAAATAATAACAAACTATTTAATAACAGGTTGGCTAGAAAATAAAAAAAAAATAGGAGAGGACAGACAACAGGTCCTGTGAGAGGGACAGACTGAAGGTAAAGAAGGGAGTGGAAGAGGAGGAGCCTGGGAGGGGTGGGCGGCTCCAGAATGGGATTGGGGGAATAAAAGCAGTGTGGCCAGAGAGGTGACGATCACTGGCTCCAGATCTCTCACCTCTGAGCTCCATCTGTCTCCCAGCACACTATGGCCCAGCTTCTGCACACTCCACTTCTCCTGCTGGCTGCCCTGGCCCTGGTCCTGGCCCAGGTAGTGAACTCCCAGAGAAACTTCAAAGTGGGTGCCCCAGGGGATGCAGGTGTCAATGACAAGGATGTGCAGGATGCACTAAAGTTTGCCCTCAGAGAGTACAATAAGGCCAGCAACGATGAGAACTACAGCCGCGTACTACGGGTGACGGGTGCCCAGAGGCAGGTGAGTCCCCTCCACCACCCAAGCGCCCATAATAGGAGTATGGGGATGGGGCCTAAAGCAGAGGGGGGTGGGGTGGCTGCATGATGTCACCAACCAACCCTTGCCTGTCCCTGTCTGGCTGGAGGGGTTGCTCTTTGACAACCTAGCAGGAGTGCTGGGATAAAGGACATGTCTGTGCTTCTCAGCAGGCAGTGTCTGGTCTTTTCTGTCCACCATAGCCCTTCCCCTGCAAGGACATCAGAGTGCTGGGGACCCAGGCTGCAGTCCTGGCTGCAGCCCTGTCCAGGTCACAGCCATGGCCTTCATTTGTGATTTCAAGTGCCAGCCTGGCCAGAGGACAGAAGTGTGAGGGTTAGGACCCCTGTCCAGTCCCTTTACATCTGTGCCCCAGCCTCACGACACGGACTTCAGTGTGAGCTGTCAATTAAAGACCACAAGCAGAGGAAAATTAGACCCCACATTTGCTGCCTTCCTGGCTCTGCTGCTGAATGACTTTTTAAGCCCCTTTTCCTTTAACTTTTTGTTGGGGCACTACTTCACACTTGCAGAGTGGTTGCAACAATAGTTCATTAAATCCTGGTATATTTCTACCTAAATTATCAAATGTTGTAATTTTGCAATACTTGTCTTGCCCCCCTCATTCCAACATACTTGTGTGTGGGATATCTGCATTTGTTTTTCTGAATATTTTGAGTTAACATCTCAGAGTACATATCCTAGAAACAAGGGCATTTTCTGATATGACCACAACACAGTTTGGGAAATCAGAATCAACACTGATACAATCCTCTAATCCATAGACATTATTCATATGCCACTGATTGTCACACTGATGTTCCTTATAGCTCAGTACTACTAGGTCATGTGCGGAAGCCTCTTTCCTGCGGCTTCCTTTACTCTGGAGCAGCTCCTCCATCTATGATCTTGACATTTTTGAAGGGTCTGGCCCATTGTTTTGCCTACTGGGGCTCAGTTTAGATTGGTCTGATGGTTCCTTGGGATTCAGATCATGCAGAAATGGTTTGTTCTCTTCCTTGCCTCTCCTCCTCAGGTTCCTCTAAACTAACTTGTGTTCTAGGTCCTCAGTGTTCAACGGAGTTTAGGGCCCACACCAACCATCCTCCATGAGGCAGGGCACTCTCTGTTCCCTGAGCACCCATGTTGTCAGCAAACACAGATGGGTTGATGAGCTAGCCAGTGGTACCTACTGTATCCCTGAGCATAGGAACTGGCATAAAAAATCCAAACCTGTCCTGAGATCCTGGAGGAAAGGCCCCTGAAGTCTTGCTTCCTTTGACAGGTCACATCCATGGGAGCAGTCTCTTGGATGTGACATCTCATTCCCCACCCTGATATTGTCCCATCATCTCCAATATCCAGGGGTAGATGTGTCATGACTGGGGTAGAAAGGACCACAACTGCCCCACCTCTTCTAGCCTGTCTTGAAGTTCTGGTCAGATAAAGAACATGGTCATCAGAGTCCAGAAAAGGGGTGCGAGGGAGTGTCAGGAAGGATCACTGGACTTTGCAGCCTCTAAGGATGGCTAGGATTTGGGCCAGCTGTCCTTGGGCCGATTTGAGAGCAGAATAAAGCCTTACAACAATGAAAGCTGGTAGTGCATGCCACCATTTAGGGCTCATCCTCCTCTTGAAACTTCAGAAAGTGGGTCCAGAACAGACCATTTTTTCTTCTACAGCAGTTGGCTGGCACTGTGTCCTTTGGATAGGACATAATGCTCCCTGTTTCACTCCCTGAAAGCCTGCTCCTCTTGAGTATAGCACTAGCTTGGCATCACAGCTCATTAGCTCATGTGGAAAACTAACACCATAGGGATCCAAGGATATACCTGTGACTCCACCAGGTAGTGTGTGGAGCCTGATCCAGGGCCCTCATCCCATGCTTCTCCAAGTTCTGATCTGCACATCTGTGGGGATACTCTGTATGAGGACAGGGTTCCTTCTCTCCTGCAATCTCAAATGTAAAAGACAGGCAGCTATGTGACACACTTCAGACATATCCCCATCAAGGATAAAATTTAGGGGTGCCTGGGTGGCTCAATCCCTTGAGCGACCAACTTCAGCTCAGGTCATGATCTCGTGGTTCATGGGTTCGAGCCCCGCGACGGGCTATATGCTGACAGCTAGCTCAGAGCCTGGAGCCTGTTTAAGATTCTGTGCCTCCCTCTCTCTCTGACCCTCCCCTGCTCACTGTCTCTCTCTCTCTCTCTCTCTCTCTCTCAGAAATAAATAAAACATTTAAAAAAAATTTTAAGGAATAAAATTTAAAATGTAGGACTGCAAGGGCAGTCATTAATCAGCTTAAAAATGTGTGCATGCATGTATGTGTGTGTGAGAGAGAGAGAGACATAGAGACAGAAGAGAGAGGCATCTCATTTCCTAGTGTGAACTGCAAGAATAAATAAACCAAGTTGCATTGAGAAAATGCAAATATCTATGGGGTTGACCCACATAACTGGAATTTAAGTTAAATGTATCCATTACATGACTGTCTTCCTGTACCTGATCCAGAATCTGCTCCAGCACAAGAGCCCTCACTGTGGGCTTAGTCCCTGCCCTGGCTTCTGGTGCTGGAGAGGTTTGTAGCAGAAACCTTGCTAGCTGCCCAGACTGCCCCTCACTCTCCAAACTCAGTTAACAGAATTTTGGTCCCTTGCTTCCATTTTCATCTTCCTGCTTCTTGTCCCTCTGTCAGCCTGAGACCTTGTGGAGATACACTGTGAATCAGTTACAAAGTGGGTTGTTTACAGCTACTGGACCAGCCCTTTGGAGGTGGCTGTGAGTTTCTAGGGTGCCCACTTTGGCAGCATAAACGCTGTTGTGAGGGCTTAATAACAGGACTCTAACTGTGTATGTAAAATTATCAGGTGCTGTGAGCAAACCCTGCTGTTGCTATGTACAGGTTGTGGCCGGAGTGAACTATTTCCTGAATGTGGAGATTGGCCGAACCAAATGCACCAAGTCTGAGCCCAACTTGGAGAGCTGTCCCTTTTATGAGCAGCCAGACTTGCTGAGGGTATGTATGTGCCTGATGGGGGCCAGGGACAGCCAAGCAGGGAAAAGGGGTGGGGGTGAGCCTGTATCTGTGGGGTGCATCATGTATGAGTGCTGGGGCTAGGAGTGTGCAAGTATCAGGGTGGGAGTAGGGGAAGTGTGCATGTGTGTGCATGTGACTAATTTGAATTTATACGGGGAACTTTGCAGAAAAGTGGAGCTCCATGTACTTTGGGGGCTGTTGCCAGTGGGACAGAGGAAGCAGATATGGGGTGTATGCTGGGGAGAGAGAGATAGGCCGATAATCCCAGCTTCAGCTGCCTGAAAAGACTGGAAATTCAAGGCTTGTGAGGGACAGAACCCCTCTGATGCTGCCTTGGTCAAAAAATATTGCTTCCCCATGGGCCTGGCTGGTTACTGGGGGTCTTGGCCTCACATGAATTTTGTACTTTTTTTGTCCACACCTTGCTTGCTGTGTGTGTGTGTGTGTGTGTGTGTGTGTGTGTGTGTGTGTGTTTAGTCTTGGTCACAGTCCCTGGGTCTCTCTCTTTGCACCTGTCCTAGTGTGGCCCACTGGAGGTCAGGGAATTTGTGGGGAGTTCCCTGTCTATTGGGGGCTCTGAGGCCTTGCACAGGCTGCTTCTAAAAGGGCTGTAGAGGTGTATTGACTGTAGCAACCTGCAGGTGGGGGCTGCGGGCAGGACCCCACCTCCTGGACTTGGAGCCATGGGGCATGGTGACCAAGAAGTAATGTAGAGCCTTGCTTAGTGTTCTGGGGCCTTGTAGGGTGGGAGCTGAATGTCCCACCTCCACCATTCTCCACCTGCTCTTCTGAATTCACCAGGATGGGCATTTTCCTTTCTGACCATAACCATAACTGTCCCTCTCTTTTCCCTTTCACAGACAAAGCTCTGCTCCTTCCAAATATACACTGTCCCCTGGCTGAGCAAGAATTCCCTGGTGAAGTCCCACTGCCACGATGCATAGAGGACCCTGTGACAGGCCCTTTCACACTGTCATCCTTGTAGAGCAGCTAAGCTTTTGACCCTGCCCAGGTGTAAGATGCCTCAGAGTGCCAGCACCAGGAGTCAGATAAAGGGTTCTGGGGCACTTTTGGACAGCTTAGGGACTCTACCTTCTTCTTAAAAATTGCTTTCCAGATGCATCAGATGTAGTGCATGTGTTCTGTTCTATCTTAATCAATAAACACTAACCAGCTAATTTTGACTTGTTCATTATCTTGGATATATGCACATATAAAGTGTTTGGGTAGTTCCTTTATAAAGAGCTCCTAGTCCCAATGGCTCTGAGGTCTGAGAGCTGACAGGGCCATGGTGGAGTCATAAGGAGACCATGCTACCATTTCTTAGGATGATTGAATCAGGGACAGGCTGGGAACCTGGCCCTTCAGTCATGGTGACTCCTGATAATCACACAGGGGAAAAGAGGGGACATAAGCTGCTCATTTTGGAGACTTGGCAGCTGTGTTTGAAAAGAATTCAGATGGTGAATGGGAATGCACAGAAGTAAGAGTTCAAATAGAGCCCATAGCCTAGGGCCACCCTTAGCAGGGCTCTGACAGGAAATAAAGTTCAACCATGTGTGCTGAGACTATCATATTCCTATTGTGATTTTCACTGGTAAAATACCTTAAAGACAAAATAAATATTGATTTATGCCTGCCTTTTTTCACAAAGTCTTCAGGCACCTACAGGAATCAAAGACTAAAAGTTTAGGTATGTATATGTAACTAATTGTGGAAATACAAATTAGGATCAAGGTCAATCAAGGTCATAATCAGGTCGGTTACATTAGAAAGATTAAAAACAACTCCACATCACTGTCTCAAGACTCTGTCATTAGAGCTGCCTCTGAGATCAGGAAAAGCAAGGGGAACACATATCCAAGGACAGGTGTAGGTGTGCTGAGCCTCCCGAGTGTTCAAGTTCAAGTCATGGGTCAATTGGTGGCTGTCTTTTTGATGACACTCTCCAACACTCCACCCCTCAAGACCCTCTCTTACAATCTAATAACCCTTTCTTCTGCAGTGTACACAGATGCTAGCAAGGGGTTTCATTAGCCTAGAGGTGATTCTTTTGGTGGCTCTCTGACTGCATTAGAGGCAGATGCCACAGCAAAAATAGAGGCATATGCAAGACAAAACACATTTAAGACAATAATTTCCAAAATCAATGACACTTTTTTTCTACCAAGAGCACCAGGACCCAAATCATTCATTTATTATGTCCCTTGGGATTAGGATTGGACCTCTTATGCCATTAACTTGTATCCTCATGTGATTTAATAAAGATGATACATTAGCAGACTTATCAATTATGAACACACAACATTCTATTTGCACAATGACATAGGTGTCATCCTTTGAGGCAGTAATAATATCCAAGGCAATCCTACTTTGGAGGATAACATTTCTCATTAGAGTCATTTCACTGTTCAGTAAGGACAGGTTTTGTTGGCTTAGTATATATCCTAAGGACTTCTATATGTGAAAGAACATCCTTGTGGCTATGGAGGCAACAAAGACAGCAGACAAACGATCATACCAGTGAAATACAGAATGTGTCATCTAGCCTTGAGGACAAGGAGATGGTAGTCACTGTTACCATAGGGCAGATTCTACCCTATACCCATGGAATTCTTAAGTGCAGTGGCTCAACCATCCAGGTGGAAACCATGCCACATGTCCTTTGAGTGCTACTCAGCAAATACCTGGAATTACAACCAATCAATTCCAAACTAGTCACTATCCCTTAACTATGACAGAGTGACCACATAGTTCCAATGAACTATGTACTAGCCCTAGTCTGTTCTTCTGCAAGGTACTGCTTTAGAGCATTCTAACCCTTTTCCTCAGGGAGCAATACCCACTATAGCAATCCTGATGATCTTGAGAGGGCCATCTGCCCACATGCCCAGCAGTGAGATGGATTTCTTCGGTGGGCATAGAAGTGAATCCATTGTAGAAAGACATTTCCATGAGGAGCCCATCCCGTGATTGTACACCAAAGGACTAAAGAAAGTCAAAAAGCCATAAAGACAGATTTTAGCTGGAACTTGTATGGGGAGGTCATCCCCTTCTGTAATAATTCCTTGTTAGCCATTGGTAAACCAGTAAAGTCCCTACCTCATGGAGGATGGTTTTGTCAGGCTTGTAGACACCATGGGAGCTCCAGAGCTGCTCTTGTCACAGCAGTTTTCTTGTGAAGCAGGTGACCTCAGCAGCTGCAACACCCATCAGCCTGGCACAGCACTGGGCTCCCAATCTCTGCTCCTCTGAGAGGGCCCTCCATCATGGTCTTTCCCTGGTGGTAGTGTCCAGACACAAGGATTAGTGTGTTGACTCCTACTTTTATAGATGTTTTTGAGGGAGTCACCACCTTCTCAGGTAGCACTCAGCCTTCTTCACAGCTGGACTTCCTCAGCTCCCTAGAATAGAAATCAATGCATTTATCACACCTTTTAGAGCCCATCTCTGAGCAGCACAAGATGACCTGGTATGTTAGTTATGCGCTGCTAGGTAACAAATAATGTTAAAACAAATTATCTTAAATTAGTCTCCTAAAATGGAGACTTACACATTCCTGATCTCAAAGGGCTAATGGGTCTGGAATCCAAGACATCTTAGCTGGTTGGTTCTGGCTCAGAGTCTCTCACAAGGCAGTGATCACTTCTCACCTAAGACTGCAGTCATGTGAAATTGGACTGGACCTGGAGTGTTTTCTACGTGCTATCAGGTGACTGTAGACAGGAGGCATCAGTCCCTCAACCATGTAGTTCTCTCCATGGCACAGCTCCCAGCATAGCAACTGGATTCCCCACCCTCCAGAGACTTATCTGAGAGAAAAAGAGAGCTACCAATATGGGAGTCTCAGTGTCTCTTACCACCTAATCTCAGAAGTCCATGCCATCATGTCTTCCCTCCCAACTCTAGTACAATGTGGGAGGAACCTGCTCAGGGATATAAATACTAAGAAGTGTATATTACTGGGGACCGTGATCTCTATACCACAGCCTGACCTCTGTGACATGTCGGTTTATACACATCACTAAGGCATGTAAAATAACTCATGCCTTTCTAGTGCCATATGAGACTGACCCTATACCATCAGCTTAAATCCACCTATTTGTCCTTTAAATCAAGCCCAAGTAAAAATGAGACTGCTCAAGTATAGTTGCTCTCAATCTGAGGAGAGTTTTGTGCCCACAGACCTGCATCATACCATGAGGTAACTACCATCAACATTTCCATTCAAAATGAGTAAAATGGGAGGGACACAGAAACCACTAGGTAATATATCTGAAATCCAGCTGAAACAATACTGGAAGCTCATTTCTTAGCACTCATTTCTACTCCTCCCCAGATGTCATACTACATGGCTGCTGATTCTGCCCTTTGGATTCTTGGTCCAACTTCTGAGTTCTTTTGTCCTTTTTCCATCAAAAGTAGCATGCATATGGAGCTGAGTGGTTTTCTCAGCTGACTTCCTGATGTTGAAATGTGTGGGGACAAACAGACTACTGTGTATGATACAGTCTCCATCTCATTCAGTCCATGAAGACAGTGCTTCATCTGACAGAATTCCTTTAAATGTTATGACTCTTTTTAGGGTCCTTTTCAAATGTTAGACAAAAGCCACACCCGAAATCAGTTAAAAAGAATCCATTCTCTAGGCTTCTGCTGACACAATATCTTCAACTTCTTAGAGGCTTTTTGGTTGATTAAGAGGGTCTGTGAGACACCCACACCGCTAAACACTTACTGGGCCTTTTACGTGACTCAGTAGTACCCTGAGGAACCAGCTATAGTCTTCCTGAGGTTTTAGTAAAGAATTTTACAGTCACCTCCTTAGCTTCATACTTGATCATGCTTTCTTGATAATGTTCTGGGTTTGATCTCTGCTTGAAAGACATGGCTTCATTTTAGCATCATTTCCCAACTTTGGAGGCTGCAAATCTTCAAAACTAACAAACACATAATATTTTTGTTTATTTTGTTTTTTTTTTAATCCTATAAGTTATATCTCTCATTGTGCATGTAATAAACAGCAAGCACATTTCAGATGATACCTTTAACTCTTTGACTGGAAATCTCTTCAGCTCAATCATAAGTTCATTAGATACACCTTTGACTTGCCACATGAGCGCAGGCTCCGGTGTTGGTCAACATTCTGCCCCTGCAGGACAAGAATTACCTCCCGTTAGTTTCCAATAATATTTTATTCTTTTTATTTTATGCTTTCCCTGGGAGCCTCCTCAAAGTCTATTTTTTATTTATTTTTATTTTTTAAATATATATATTTTTAGGAGTGCCTGGGTGGCTCAGTCGGTTAAGCGTCTGACTTTGGCTCAGGTCATGATCTCACAGTTCCTGAGTTCAAGTCCCGCATCAGGCTCTGTGTTGACAGCTCAGAGCCTGGAGCCAGTTTCAGATTCTGTATCTCCCTCTCTCTTACCCTCCCCTGCTCATGCTGTCTCTCTCTCTCTCTGAAATAAATGAAACATTCAAAAAAATTTTTTATATATACATATATATTTTATTTTTTCTTTCATAGTTTATTGTCAAGTGGGTTTCCATATAACACCCGGTGCTCATCCGAACAAGTGCCCTCCTCCATGCCCATTACCCCCCTTCCTCTCTCCTTCACCCCCTTCAGCCCTCAGTTTGTCTCAGTATTTAAGAGTCTCTCATGGTTTGTCTCTCTTCCTCTTCCTAACTATTTTTTCCCCTTCTCCTCCCACATGGTCCTCTATTAAGTTTCTCCTGTTCCACTTATAACTGAAAACATATGGTGTCTGTCTTTCTCTGCCTGACTTATTTCATTCAACATAACACCCTCAAGTTCCATCCATGTTGCTACACATGGCCAAATTTCATTCTTTCTCATGCCATGTAGTATTCCATTGTATAGATAAACTACATCTTCTTGATCCATCCGTCCGTTGATGGACACTTAGGCTCTTTCCAT